ACAGATATATTTAACAGAAAATACTGTTTAACGCATATGCTAAACACTGAAGGTTGGTATAGTGTTCCTTTTCCCTCGTGCACATGTAAAACCTTGAACAATCCACAATTCGGGTATGTTATATTTTTATTACTCTTCAATCTAAGTATTTTTCAATTTCCATTCAATTTCTCTTTGTTCCATGAGGTATTTAAAAAGCATGGGTTTTAAATTTTCCACATATATGAGGGTTTTATTTTTATTATTTTTTTATTTTTAAAGATTTTATTTATTTATTTGACAGAGAGACACACAGCGAGAGAGGGAACACAAGCAGGGGGAGTGGGAGAGGGAGAAGCAGGCTTCCTGCGGAGCAGGGAGCCTGATGTGGGGCTGGATCCCAGGACCCTGGGATCATGACCTGAGCCGAAGGCAGACGCTTAACGACTGAGCCACCCAGGCAGCCCTATATGAGGGTTTTAAAAGGTATTTTTTTGTAATTGATTTCTGAGTTAAATTGCATTATGTTCAAAGAATGTATTCTATATAGTGCCAATTCCATGATATATGTTAAGACTTGTTTTATGGCCTCATATAAAGTCAATTTTTATAAATGTTCTATATGCATTTGAGAAGAATGTATAACCAAAAATTATTGGTTGCAGAGTTGTAAATATATAATAAACCAAGCTTACTGTGTTCATATGTTTAATTTTTTTCCCTCTGTTTGACCTATCAAATGCTGAAAGTAGTATGTTGAATTCTCTCACCATAGAATTTGAAGATTCACTGTAAATGAATTTGTCAGTTTTCCCTTGTAGGTCAAATATTCCTGCTTTTATATTTTAATGCTGTTTTATTAGATACATGTAAGAGTTATTATATGTTCATCATGAGTTTAATCTTTTATTGCTATCTGGTGACCATCTCCATCCCTCATGATGCATCATTTCTTACACTTTATTTTGTCTGGTATTATATAGCTACATGCCAACTTTCTTTTTGTTAGACCATTCCTGGCATATCTTTTTTCCATTCTTTTTCATTCAATCCTTCTGTTTTTTTTTTTAATGTTTTAATGTCATTTTTGTAAAACAGGATAAAATAGAAAATACATTTTTAAAAAATCCACTTTAACTGGCAAATTTTCTCCATTTCTATACATAGTGATTACTGATATATTTGGATTTATTTCACCATCCCATTTTGTGCTATCTTTTTCATGCCTCAGTTTGTTTTTTGTTTTTTGTTTTTTTTGGCCTTCTTTCGGATTGCTGTTACGTGTCCATGCAAAGGGAAGCATAGGAAATGTATCTGTGTTTAGAATAAACTGGAAAGTAATTTTTAATTCCTGCTGCCAATCCAATAAAAGAGGTGAAGGCGAGAGTAGCGGTTCCTAAACTTGGACTTCTCAGATGAGTAAAATTTCCCCTAAAATGTTGGTGGTCAATATAGAGTTGCCAACTTTTTATTTTGCCAAGTTAGGAAATTTAGAAAACAACCACAGCCACAGCTGTCACCTATCGTCACCATAATTTTATAAAGTAAAGAACATTTAAAACCCACCTTTTAAAGTGTAAAAAAAAAAAGAAAGGGTAGTCTCAATGCAGAGATCATTTGGCGAACTTATCTGAGATACACACACACACACACACACACAATTGATGCCCATGCCCCTCTATCTGCATTAGTGTGTACGCTCATTTCACCCAACATCGTTGGAAACTTTGACCTGCACCTAAACTGGAGCAGAGGGCGGGGGTGTGGAAGGAGGAGGAGGTTCTGGGTGGGGGCTGGGGAGGGGCCTCCGGAACCAGTCACACACTGTGGGTGCCTGGGTGCGGCAAAGAACGGAGGTAGAGCGGTTGGGTGTGCCTGCGGCTGCGAAACGGGCCAAGAACCAAGAGAGGAGCTTCTCTCCAGGCAGGAGAGAAGAGGAGGCCCAGTCCTGACCAGGATCCCTGGCCTGATGATGTTGGATGCGGGGTCTCTGCCCTCGGATATTTAGATCCGGATATTTCGATGTGAAAGTCCTTCAGTCAGTGGCATTTAATAAACTCTATGTTCTGCCCGGGTGCCTAATACGCTAGAGGAAACCTTTCAAAACAGCTGGGGCTGGAGATTAGTCTCGGTCTATTAGGCTCCCTTGCTTAAACATGTCATTGTGCCGGGCAGGATCGGACACGTGATGCCGTATTTTAAATATTCACAATAACAAGCTGACACGGACACATAAATTGTCTAGATCAGCAAAAAAAAAAAAAAAAAAAAAAAAAAAAGTAGACTGTACTTTCCGGAGCAAACCCAAGGGAACTCGCGAGCCCACAGAGAGCCCTCGTTAAGGGCTTCCCCAGAGACCTCGGCGGCTCCGGCTTCTAGGCCTCGTCTGGGCGGACGCTGAGGCCGGTCCCAGGTCTGAGCAGGTGCCAGCGCGGGGCAAAGCCCTGCTCCGCTCGGGCCGCCCGGCGCGCGGGAAAGGCGCCAGCCCAGCCGGGTTTGGGGGCGCAGGAGGAAGCAGTACGAATGTTCTCTGCGGTGAACTGACTTGGCAGAGGCGCCGGCCCTCGCCTGTCTCTGTGGCGCAATCGGTTAGCGCGTTCGGCTGTTAACCGAAAGGTTGGTGGTTCGAGCCCACCCAGGGACGGTGGCTGAGCGTTTTGAGCCTGGGGTGTGTCTCGCGGGGCGCGGAAGCCGCGGAGGTCTGGGCGCTGCTGTCATGTCAGGCCCTCACTCTCCCGCCCCCCGGGTGTTCCCAGACGGTGGGTCTGCAAGATCCGCCCTGCGGTTGGTAGCAAGCCTTTTAGCGGCTTGATTTAGGTCCTACGGAAACTGCCCCGTGAAACCGAGTAAAATGTTTGCCGACCAAAGGAAGCAAGGACTGCTAAGCCAAAGATGAATTCGTTGGCACATCTGCCTGCTTTGCCTTTGCGCTTGGATTTCCTAACTCATCAAACAGTCGTGTCCGGAAACTGGGCCCCGAGTCATGCTGAGTCCTACTGCTTACCCGTGTCTGGAGAGAATGCCTTCTGGCTTTTCAGTAGGCACCTTCCTCCCCAGCCTCGCTGCCTTTCACGTCCTCACCACTTCCCCCTTGGGTCACTGCAGTAACTACCCGGCTTTCCAGGGGGGAGGGGGTTTTCCTGGCTTCAAACCGCGCCCCGCCCTTCTTTCCTCCACGTAGCTGCCAGAGAGGCTTCCTAAAATGCAGACTTGTTCTGCTTAAAATCCCTCAAAGGCTTGCTTGGCCGGCTGGGCGCTCCTTAGCCTGGAAGGCAGTGCCTTTCATGATCCGGCCCCTGAACTCGCTCCTCTCCCTCCCTGGCTCTTTACACTAGAAAACAGCTAAACTACTTTCTTGAGCCCTACTCTGGCTTTTGAATCTTTGCCTGGCAAACTTCTCTTCAGCGTCTGTCCCCCTTGCCTGGCAAACTGCTACTCATCCTTCACCACCACAAAACTAAGCCTCTTCTCTGCAGGCTGTTCTTCATTCCCTCGTCTGGGCTTTTCTCCCTAGAATGAAAACTCTTCTAGGAATGTCCCCATGTTGTTCATCTCTCTATCTTCAGCACCTAAGCCCAAGCTCGTGGCATCATAAGTACTAAATAGATGTGAGTTGAAGATTTTATTTATTTGTTTGAGAGAAAGATAGAGAGAGCATGAGAGTGGGGTGAGGGGCAGAGGGAGAAGCAGACCCCCAGCTGAGCAGGGAGTCTTTCCCCGAGCTTGATCCTGGACTCCTGGATCATGACCTGAGCCCAAGGCAGACATCCAACCAAGCCACCCAGGCCCCCTAGATGGGGGTTTCCCGATGCACTTGCCTCACGTCTGGATCTCATGTAATATTCAAACGTCAAGCTTGAATCATGTTGGCATGTAGCTCATAACTGACACCTAACTAACCTATACCTCTGTCCAGGCCCCTATCTCCTTCCTGGGGATGCCTTCTCCTGTCCACCACCTGCTCGGAACTAACTCTAACAGCCACCCACCCTCCCATCCCACACCACCTGTAAAAGTCCCCTTCACCAAGTTGTCTCAGCAAGATTGGTTGAGTCTGCAACTGGTTGATTCGTGTGAGCTGTGAGGATATGATTTCATTAACCCAAACTCATCCCTGGTAGAATTTCAGACAGCAGGAGGAAAAATGGATTTTACCATTCAGGTCATGGTTTTTCCATCTTTGGAGAGCAGCATGCAAGATCTTGTTCAATGCTTTATTGGAATCAAGAAATGCTCTGTTTAAAGCTTCTAATACAGAAAGACACAGCTAAGCTTTCTTCCACAAGCCACGCTCGTGACCCCACCCCCACTCCATCGTCACTGCCAGGCCGACAGATTTCAAAGTCTCAGAGTCTAACTCAGCAGAGTCGAGCACATTTAGCATCGCTTATCCAGCATTTGGTGGATGAATGATGTGAAGCTGGAGCTGGAGCTGTATTAAATACTGAAGCAGAAAGCTGGTCATAGTCCCTGCATCGCCTCTCTCTAATTCCTACTATCCTGGCCCACAAATGTCCTCATGTCCTGCCCATTGCCTCCTGAACAGCTGTTGTTGACTCTTTCCTGTCATGCTTTCTCGGTTCAGACCCAGAGCAAGCTCTGTTCACTGAGCTTGATCTGGGACAGCAATGTGGCTCTCCTTCCTATGGACACAGAGTTTGATCTGCTCGTTCTTTTCCAAGACCCTTCCATCCCCAACCCCTTTCCGGGAGCATTTTCTACTCATGACAGACATCAAGAGCGTTCATCATTAAATATTCACACAGCATCCCAGTTCTGACAGGGGCTCCCCTGAAAAATCAATTCTACATCACCCTGTGATTTTTCTGTACCTACACTACCGCTCACGTTCTAGGAAGACAGTCCAGGCAGGGGTTTGCCCTGGTCCGTCCTGGACTGCCTTGCTCTTTCTCAGCCACCCCCTTTTGCTGTCTCCCCTAGACCCTCAACAGCCCCCACAATCTATATGGAAGGGGCTTTAGGGTGGCAGCAACAGATGTAGACCACGACCCAGCTGGCCCTCGGCCATAATTCTTTTATTTACTTATCCAGTTATTTAAGAACAAGTTCATACATTGGGTCACCACCCACAGTCTACATTGTGGCTTTGCTGTGACAGACAGTAGGGCAGAGAAGGTATCTGGGTAGCTCTGAGACTTCAAGTCTGAGTACTGTGTCTACTCACTGGGGCTTCATGGTTGGCCCCCAGAGATCGCAGACCCTTCCTTTCCAGCAGAGACCAAGACAGAATGGAGTTGAGTGGAAGATCCTCAGCCCAGATCCTGAGGTGCGGTTTTCCTGCTGCTCCCAGAGCTGCCTGGTGGGGATGATGGGGTTGTGAATCCAGAAGGAGGCTCAAAGGTGCTGCTTTTATTACCCCCATTTGTCCTAAGGGCCCTGTTTCCAGGAGACTTTGCTGTTTTTCCAGCCCCTCATTGAGCTATGAAGGTCTCTCTGCACAGCAAAATACAGTCCCGTGTCCACTGCAAATAGAAGTACCATCACCAGGGAGAAAGGGATTTGGGGCCAATGTAGGAGTGGTAAGGTGGATGGAACTGCTGAACCTAATGGGAGAAGCAGAGGGATGAGAAAAATGACACTTGTTAAGGCAGAAATTTGGTGTCCAATTCTTTCCTTTTATCTAGTGGTTAAATAAATATAAAGGTCTGGGTCCCCTGGGTGGCTCAATTGGTAAGGTCTGCCTTCAGCTCAGGTCATGATCCCGGGGTCCTGGGATCGAGCCCCACATTGGGCTCCCTGCTCGGTGGGGAGCCTGCTTCTCCCTCTCCCTCTGCCTACACCTCCCCCTACTTGTACTCTCTCTCTCTGTCAAATAAATGAATAAAATCTTTTTTTTAAAGAGTTTATTTACTTATTTGACAGAGAGAGACACAGAGAGAGAGGGAACACAAGCAGGGGGAGTGGGAGAGGGAGAGGGAGAAGCAGGCTCCCGGCAGAGCAGAGAGCCCAATGCGGGGCTCGATCCCAGGACTCTGGGATCATGACCTGAGCCGAAGGCAGACGCTTAACGACTGAGCCACCCAGGTGCCCCTAAATGAATAAAATCTTTAAAAAAAGATAAAGGTCTGAATCTTTGGTGTGATCTTAGAGACACATTAACGCGCCCCCCCATTCTCCCCTCAGTTAGAGTTACTTCATCCGTAAGGTAGACTCAATAATGCCTATAACCTCCTAACATTGTGGTGAGGGGGTCACTGTGATGGTCAAACTGGGTGCATGGAAAGAAGCACTTAGCGGGGTGTCGAGCACACTGAAAGGTGCCCGATAAACGTCAACTCATCTTTGTTACAGAAGGGGAACTTGAGACTCAAAGAGACTAATGGTTTATGCACTGTTACATGATTAATGAGCAGCAGAACCGGGACCCAGTTTCCATGCCCTCTCTGTGAGCCAGTGAGGGGCGCCCACCAGGTTGGTTCTTGGCTAAGACTTGAGGCTTGGAGAGGAAAGGAGGGCAGTGAAGATGGGCTAGCACTCTAGGGACACATAACATTGTGGGTGTGGTGTGACTGGGGCAAGGAGGGACAGGTGTACTTATGGGGCAGGAAATGTGGCTTCTGTTCGTGCAGAGTCAATGACACCCCTCAGAACCCCTTGTAAAGAAGCCTGTGGAATATTCCAGAATCTCCTTTCCACTCATCTTCACAGTCTGAGTGCAGACTCCATCCATGCCCAGGGGGGTCTGGACCCTCGAGAGCTGTGCAGCTCTTACCTTGAATGATGATGTCCACAGGCTCTGAAGACTCGTTTCTCTTCCCAATAAGCCCCCTGCAGAAGTAGGAGCCACTGTGTTTGCTTGTTGCTGCTGGAATGTGGAAGTCAGAATTATTATAAGAAAACTTCTTGCTTTTTCCATTCTGGAAATATTGAACTTTCCATACGGGCTTGTTCTTCCAGCTGTGGCACCTCAGCCAAATGGGCTCCCCCTCCTGGAACACCTGCCGAGGCGTCCGGAGCAACAGCCAACCTGAAAGACACGGAGGCCACGGCCCGGGGGCCTCAGCAATCAGAGCCAAGACCTTGGGAAGGGGACACTCACCACCCAGATCCTGGGGCGCCATGGAGAGCCAGCCTGGGAGCCATCCCTGCAGAGCTTGCTTCGGGAAAAAGCCCACTGGGCCCTCAGGAGAACTCATGTCACACCAAGACTTTTTGTCTAATGGGGAAGAGGGACACACAAATCAAACCGTAAGGGTAGAACAGAGGGACTAAGGGAAGAGGTAGGGGGGAAGCCATCTGCAGGGTCCTTAGGGCTGCCCTGGGATTTGTTATGGCAAGTAAGGCTACAAGCAGCCACCATAAGTTCTAGGTCAAAGAGTAAAAATTGCATTTGAAAATGATGATTTGTGGGGTGCCTGGGTGTCTCAGTTGGCTGAGCGTCTGACTCTTGGATCCAGCTCGGGTCATGACCTCAGGGCCGTGGGATCGAGCCCAGCATCGGGCTCCATGCCCAGCAGAGTCTGCTGGAGATTGTCTCTCTCCCTCCCCCTCTACCCCTCCACCCACGCACTCATGAGCTCTCTTTCTTTCTCTCAATAAATAAATAATTTAAATCTTAAAAAAAAATGACGATTTGCTCCATTAAAGAAAGGTTGAGGGGTGCCTGGGTGGCTCAGTTGGTTAAGCGTCTGCCTTCGGCTCAGGTCATGATCCCGGGGTCCTGGGATCGAGCCCCGCATCGGGCTCTCTGCTCCGCGGGAAGCCTGCTTCTCCCTCTCCCGCTCTCCCTGCTTGTGTTCCCTCTCTTGCTGTGTCTCTATCTGTCATATAAATAAAATCTTTAAAAAAAAAAGATTATGATTATAAGAATACATATAGATAGTCTGGTGGCCTTTGGGCCAGTCTGTCCTGCCATGGACTTCATGAATGTCCATATGTACATCCATTCAGCGAAGATTTGGTTGAGCACTCACTAATGTACCAGGTGTTGTGCAGTCTGGGGTTACCCGCTGACGAAGACACATGATCCCTAACCTCAAAGAATTTGTAGACCCAACACAGAAAAACACATACGCAGAAATAATTCCAACACAGCGTGCTACAACAGGCAAAGAACAAAGGTCTCGAGGGCCAAAGAGAATGGCACAAAGAGGACTTCTCAGAGGAGGAGAAAGTGAAACGAGTCTTGAAAGATGATCGAGAGTTTTTCCTGGTGAAGTTAGTGCTCATGGTCACAGCTTAGTACAATCCTCATTGACGGGACTTCCAAAGCCAGGTTCTAGATCGAACTCCAGGGCAAACTAATAGCTCTCAGGATTGATTTTTCTAATAACCCATTTTATTTGGTCTAAGGTAGCCACGCCTCACCTAGCTAGGGAATAGACATTCCTCCCCGTAACTCCGTAGCATGAAGACTGTGTCAGCTACGTGGTGGTCAGAGGCTAAGGAGCCACGAAAGTCAGCTTCAGAGGCCTAGTTCTGTGAAACTCTTTGCAAGTCAGGCCCCCCTTCCCCTCCAGGCTCCTTCCACCTGTACACATGGTGACCCTGAGGCAGCCATTGAAGTAGCGTCAGGCTTGAGAGGGGACACTGCAGGTACTGGGCCAGGTGCTGTGATTCCAGGGACCGCGGGACATAGCCCTGCCTCTGACATCCTTCCCTCACCTGCTTCTGATGCCTGCATTCTGCAAACAATGCTAAAGACTTCCGTTCCATGACCCGTGTGCAGGCTGAACATGTCTCTATCCCCACTAGGAGGGTTACACTGAAGTTTAAGTTTGAGTGTGGCATTGATGGGGACAGGGTGGTAGATAGGACCCTGGGCCGTTTGGAAGGGTTTGGAGGGTCACTTAGGGCATTGTGCGCCTGAGAGTCAGATGGAGATGGGGGTCATAAAAACAGAATCATTAACTTATTCAATAAATATCAGTGAGCACTAACAGCATGGCCTGACCTTCAGGTGACACCATGCTCTTGGGTACGTTCTATGTGAATGGTGGTTGCTGGGACTGTGCCCTGCAGGGTCCTGGGTCCATCAGGCACCAGCTTTTGACATTTTGCCCAAGGCCTGCTTGGAGATAGGACTATGACTCTGGTATAATTCAGGGTGGCCACAGATCATCTCGTCTCAGTTTTAACCCCCAAGTCTCGGGTCTGCTCAAGTCTTCCGCTTCCACCCTCTATTGGCGAGTCCCCTCTTCCCCTTCGCCCACTCACCCACGTGGACTTCGAGCTGCACGGGGTCACTGAGTTCAGAGAGTCCCTTCCGGCACCTGTACTCGCCGCTGTCTTCAATCCTGGCGACTTTGATGAAGTAGCTGGTCTGATCTGAGATGAGGGTCCCATTGTGCAGCCACTGGGTGGAACTGTCCCCAAAGGGATCGGTCCCCTGGCACTTGAAAGTCACACTGTCCAACGTGAGGACCCTATTGTATGGAGGCTCCAGGACCACCACAGCCTTTGTGAGGTTTGCTAAGGAACCAAGAGAGGGTGGATTAGGGCAGGGAGCGGAGCGGGCCTTACACTAGCATTCCCGGGGAGGCTGAGAGCCAGAGCGAGCCCATTGCAAACCCACGCTTGGCGACTCCGCCTTGGTCAGTGACTCAGACTCAGAACATCTTGGCTTCAAGGCACTTAGCCCCATTTCTGGCCTCTCATTATCCTGAGGAAAATTAGCCAGAGAAGCCTAGGGCCAAGGCCGACTGTACTGGGGAAGTGCCCCCTGACAACCCCACACCAACTGTTTCCCACGTGGTGCGCGTTTCCCAGCGCCCCGTGGCTGTTCCACACTGCGTGCCTAGCTGGATCCATCGAGACCACAAAGCAAACTCACCAGCTTGTGTGCCAGCAGAAACTGCAAGACAAAAGGGCGAAACAAATGCTGAACAGAAGTGGAGATCAGGGGGCTGGAGTGTGGAAGGGGTGTAAATTCCCCTGCCAGCCCCTGCCTTGGGGGTCCCGTGTCGCCAAGAATCAAGGTATGTATGGTGGCTACCTTTCCCTCTGCCTGCCTTCTCGTCACCAGTGTCAACGTCTCCTGTCCTGCCTTCCACCCCCATCCCCGCTTTCAACACCACTCCCTTCCTCCTTAGTCCCTCTTCTCAAACTCCCAAAACAAGGGTACAGACTGAATTTCCCCGAATCAAGCCGGAGACACCACGTCAACCCAAGTCCTCCCACAAGGGTGGAAATCAGAAGTCTTGGAGGGGAACCCAGTGACGTCAGAACGGAAGGGACAGAACTTAGGGACCATCTATCTGGTCCATAGCCTTCAATTTACAGATAGGGAAACTGAGCCCCAGCAGGGTGAAGGAACAGAGACCTCCCAGTCCCCCTTCACTTCCTGGTTATGCCCAAATCAGAGCCTGCGTTCTCATCTCTAGCGCCTCAGGGGTTTGTCCTGGGAGCTCTATTGAGCGCTCTGCATGTGGTAAGGGGTCCTATTCCTTGGTAGGGGTCCTCTCCCCGGCCTGAAAAGTGGGCTCTGCTGAACCCCAGGGCATCTGGAGCTTCTCTCGCAGCCCAAGTGACTCTGACTTACCTAGGAGCAGCAGAGCCATTGAGGGTAGCAACCGCCTCATGCTGTCACATCAGAGCGAAGTCGCCGCAGATACACTGAGCCCTTACAGGCCGCAGGCAGCTCACTTGAAGAGAGGAAGTAAATAGTCTTTCCCCCACCCCCCAGCTCATTACTCTCTAGGTTCCTTTTCCCAGAACGTCATCTGATTTCTGAACCAGAATTCTGACAAATGAGCCCCATGATAGGGCAGGAAGGGGAAGAAAAAAGTCTGGAAGGAAGCTGAGGGGGCATGTCCCCCTTGGGGGTCCACATAGGTCTACAGGTGAGCATCTAGTGATCTCTAGAGGCTGTCAGAATGCAGCTGGTAAATCTCAAGATATTCCCCCCCCCCGCCGCCCCCCCGCCCCCCCCCCCCCCCCCCGTGGGTTTGGATCCACTCAGTGCCAAAGACAAGATAGCAGGACCCTGGGGATGAGACTCCAGAGGGAGAGCATTCACCAAGGGATCTCTGGTCCTACTTCTGAACTTGTCACTGCCCTGATTCCGCGGAATCCAGCTGGGACCTGCCTGCGCACATTGAAATCTTCAAACCGCTAGAAAGCATCCCTCCCCCCAGGGTTATCTCCACCATTATATTTTTCAAGATTCAAAATGCATTGCCTTGGGATCCGCAATGCACTTCTTAGCGTGAATTTGACCGTGAGATTCACACCCTCTGTTAAAGGAAACCCAGGCAGTGGGGGAGGAATGGAGCCCTGGGGGTGGGGGTGGGGATGTCACTGATTGGTTGCAGGGAAGGCAGAGAAGGAGGAATGGAGGGGAGGAGAGGACAGGAGCTCTTTACAATCAAACCACCATTACCAGGGCTGAGCTAAGTCACCGCAGCTCAAGTGAGCTCAGACCCTCGGGGACCCACCGGGCCTGGGCTGGCCTGGGCTCCTTACTGAAAAAGGTGGAGGTGCAGCGGCGGGGAAGCCATCAGACTGCGAACCTGTTCTGCGCTCCCTAGATGCACCCCTCTCCCCAACACATGCACCTCCGTATCCTCTCTCCCCCTCCCACTTTGTTTAAATCCAGGTCTCAGAGAATCAAATGGCTCTGCTTGGCAGTGCCACTGCCCCAGGGGGTTCCTGGACATCTGGGACAGGTCTCACTCGAAAAAGCCTTGGAAAAGGCCGGGAGGTGAGCAGCAGACAGGTGTGAGGTTTGGCAGCGGTAGAGGGGCGGCGGGGCGGGCACGGGTGCCTGCTGGCCACTGCTTGGGACCAGTGCCCCTGTCCATTCCAAAGTCATATAAAGACCACCTCTCAGGATTTTGTTTTGCTTTGTTTTGCTCCCAGTAGAGTTCATCGGTGCCCCCCTCCCACCCACCCGCCGCCTTCATGCACTCTTGCCGCAGCCCCTCCCCCACAGGCCCTGGGGCTTGATGTCTGGTTAGGGTCCACCCGGGACTCGAACCCCGCAGCCATTCTAGCGCTCCCTCTCAAGCGCCGCGTTCACACCTTGCAAAATCCAGACCAGCATCTGAAAACGTAAAGCCCCACACTATGCACTTCAGATGCTTCTCTGGGAAACCTAGGCCCGCAGAGTGCCCCCCTCTTCCCGGGGGTTGGGGGACTGTGGAAAGCTTCCGAGGTGAAGGGGGACCCCCCCCCCGCTCTCTGTTCTTCACAGTTCTGCGTGGTTTTCTCGCACGTGGCTCGCGGTTCGCGGCATTCACTTTAGTTTGCCTTCTTTGCAGTTCTGTTGTCTCCTCGGACTCATCTTCTGTCTGTGGTCTTCACGTGGAGGGAAGAATTGTTGGCTGCGGAGGATGGGCGATAGGAAGCAGGGAGCCCAGGAGGACCGCAAGAGTGGGGAGCACGCTGAAGGTTTTCATCAAGTGCTTACTGAGCCAGCCTCAGCTTGAGCCTGGGGCTGCAAGGGCTAATTTTAAGGGGTAGCTAGAACGCACAGTTTTCAAAGGACAGGTGGTCTTGGGATAGCTTATGCTGGAGTGTTCGTTTGTCTCCATGCTTGCCTTTTCTTTTCTCCCCTCATTGTTGTTTTTTCCTCTCTCCCTTCTTCTCTCCCCTTACTTGCCCTTCACAGTTGACATGCCAGCCACAGCACGAGGTTCTGCGATGACCAGGCCAGTTAGTTTTCATCCCCTGGTACTCACACTTGTGTAGGGGAGACCACCAGATAAGGGCCTGAAGTGCCAGAGGGACCCTGAGAGTATTTGCAAAATCCTGTTTGTGCACAAAGAAGGCACCTGTGGGAGGAGTCATGTGGGAGTGGATCACTTTAAATGTATCACAAAAGATAATTGTATGTTCAGCAGGAAGGTTTTGAGAGAAAGGCATTTCAGGCAAACAGGGAAGCATGAGCAAAGATGGGGTGAAATAGGCTGGCGTGTTTGCAGAGCTGGGTATAGCTCCACAAGATTTGTGAGAACCACAAAGGAGAAGCACAAGCTAAAAGGTTAAGGGTCGGGCGCCTGGGTGGCCAGTCGGTGGTTAAGCATCTGCCTTCGGCTCAGGTCATGATCCCAGGGTCCTGGGATCGAGCCCCGCATTGGGCTCCCTACTCTGCAGGAAGCCTGCTTCTCCCTCTCCCACTCCCCCTGCTTGTGTTCTTGCTCTCGCTATGTCTCTCTCTGTCAAAATAAATAAATAAAATCTTAAAAAAAAAAAAAAACGTGCAAGATGGGAGGTGAAGGCCTTCCCTGGTGATGCAAATGAAGTTGTGGCCCCTCCATCCCCTTACTCCTTTAAGAGCTTGTGCTTTTCCTTTGTAGTACTCATCAGACTTCGGTCAGGTCTTTGAGGGCAGGGAATCTGTTCCTCTTGTTTATATTGTATCCCCAGCATTTAGCACAGTGCCTAAAACATACTTGGCGCTCGATATCTATGGAGTGATCATGAAGGACTTTGTATGTCATCGTGAACAGTCTATACCTTCTTAGATTGCTTTCAGAATAATTTTTATAAAATGTAAAACCGATTATCAACATTTTAAGCTGGGGAATGACATGATCAGTTTTACGTTTTATAAAAATTACTCTGATAGAAGTCCAATAAATAAACTGGAAAGGAGAGAGATCGAAGGTGGCGAGAAGAGTTGGGAAGTTATTTTGACAGTCTAGCCAAGGGGAGATTCTCTGTTAAAGAGGTGGAAATGCAATGGAAGCCTCTAAGAGAGAGGTGAAGAAGGTAGAACGGACAGGATTTGGATGAGTGATTGGCTATGAGGGTAACAGAGAAGGAGCGGTCTGGGCAATGCACAGCTTTTTGATCTGGATGATGAGGAGGATGGTGGTACATTGCATGGACATAAGAAATAAAGGAAGAGGAACAGGCTTTGGGGGGGAGATAATGATCTCAGCTCTTGACCTTATTGAGTTGGAGGTAGTTGTGATTTCAGGTGAAGATTTCAAGTAGGCAGTTGGGCATATGGCCTGGGAACTCAGAAGCAGGTCTGGACAAAAGACAAGATTTAGGAGGCATCAACATGGTGTTTTAAACTTTTGATAAAAGCTTTAGTCCTTTTCCTAAGAAAAAATGCAAATAAATATACACATAAATTTCCCTATAATTTAAGAATTTCCATGTGAAGCCCATCCAGAGATCCTAGGTTCAGATATAATATGGGTAAGATCTCTCTATCTGAGTATTGAGTGAGAAAAAAGGGGACCTCCAGTGAGGGAAGGAAGTAGAGAAGATGGGAGGTGGGGTGGGAGAAGGGGAGCAATGACAGAAACTTGGCACACAGCAACTTTTGCAGAGTGTGAAAAGGAAGAACAGCTGACAAAGGAGATTGGGGAGGAGGGGTTAGAGAAGAGAGGAGAATAGGGAAGCCCAGGCCGCAGAGACTTTTAAGGAGGCAGAAGTCAACAGTATTAAGAGCTGTAGAAAGTTCAAGAAGTACTTTCAATGTGGTCTTCTGGGACCTATTCATGACCTTTGCCTGAACAATTTCAAGGGCTGTAGTTGGGGGACAAAAACTGATAACTTTTGGTTGAAGATTGAGTAGAAGTGAAAAAGTGTTCTCATGAATTACTACTCCTTCTGAGAATCTCCGTTATGAAGGCATCGTGGACCTTTGTCGAGGCTGTCCAGGGGCTTTGTCAGGGCTGTCGGGGATGTCGCCTTCGTATCAGCATCTCATTCTCCCTTGAGGAAGCCCCCACTGTGAGTAGTCTTAATAGAAAGTGGTGACTGGTTTCCGCTACATAAGCCAAGTGGGCCAGATCCCCCTTTCCCCTGCCTTGGGCCAGTGTTATGTGCTGAGCTGTGTCTCTCACAAATTTATATGTTGAAGTTCTAACCTCGAGTACCTCAGAATGTGACTTTATCTGGAGACAGAACCTTGGAAAGGACATTAAGTTAAGATGAAGTCATTAGGATGTGTCCTAATCCAATATGACTGGTGTCCCTACAAGAAGAGAAGATTAGGACACAGGCACAGAGGGAAGACCGTGGGAAGACAGAAAGAGAAGATGGCCGTCTACAAGCCAAGGAGAGAGGACTCAGAAAAAAACCAACCCTTGATCTCAGACTGTTAGCCTCCAGAACTGTGAGAAAATAAATTTCTGTTCTTCAAACCACCTGGTGTGTGGTACTTTGTTACATAGCAGCCTGAGCTGACTCAGACAGGAAGCCAAGGAGCAGACATATGATCTAGGCTTGGCCAACTTGTCTCTTCTGGAATGTTGAATCCCGAACAAGTGACACTTATTCACTTATAAGGGAGATTCATTCATAAGGGAAGGAGATGGTTGATGACTAGTCATCACAACAACAGGAGAGGATGACCTGCCTCCAGTTTCCACCCAGTAAATTCCTTTCCTTTCCTTAATATACCTAGAGTCTGAGACAGTTGCTTAGAGTCAAGAGCCCTGAGTGATACAGTAAGAAAGGAAAATCAGAAGATGGTAACTAGAGGGGATCAAGGAAAGAAAAGGAGATTTTGTTTTGTCTTAAGGGAGAGACTTGAACTTATCCACAGGTCATTTAACTTTTTTTTTTTTAATTTTATTTATTCATCTGAGACACAGAGATACAGACAGAAAGAGCACGAGCAGGGGGAGAGGCAGAGGCAGGGGGAGAGGCAGAGGCAGGGGGAGAGGCAGAGGCAGGGGGAGAGGCAGAGGCAGGGGGAGAGGCAGAGGC